CACGTACATCTTGAAAATTAAGAATAAGTTGTCTCAGGGACAGAATTACCTAGAAATTATAGTCTCCTTTACGTGAATTAGTATTAAAAATCATCACAGCAAATTGAGTAAACGAATATACCAATGCAGTTTAGTTCCATTATATGCAGAATATGGAAAAGAAATTAAAAAAATAAGGAAAGAGTGGGAGTCGATCCACACCATAGACAACAGTCAGAAAACTGTTCTAACCACTACACTATAAGTGATTGGATGCCATCAGCGTTTTTTAATTCATTGATAAGATATCAAATAAGTGTATATTATAGTACTGCTATAGTACGACATCTATACATTAAAAATAAAAATAACAGATAGGACCAAAATCTAACCGGACAATATATTCGGTCACTGCTGTCAACGTTTTTATAGTCCGCCAGTAAATATAGTCCGGGGTTATATTGTATACCATACAGAAAATATGGTCCGGTTAAGACCATACACCCTAGGACACCAGGTCCGGAGGACCTGGTGTCCTAGGGTGTATGGTCCTACGGACCATATATTCAGGGAGACTATATTTACTCTGACACCGGGATGATTTCGCCTCACCAAACCTTGCACCAGTTATCTGCTCTCTGAGACTGGGGATAAAATCATCCGCTAATTTAGTTGGCTAATATAATTAAATTGATGACAATAGAAATTCGTATTATAAAAAGAAATATTTAATTGAATGCATTATAAGTCTTATAAGTCGATTAAGTAATCATGTATCTGTATTGGAATCCGAATACTAGAGAGGTTAAGCTACACGTATAGATGCAAACCGTGAACCTGAACGCGTAAGTCCACGAAAATTTTCAGTTAAGCTACACGTCTGGAACCATGTCAGTGGACGTGGAGCTATAAAACATTTTGCTTTTTATTTTTTATTTATTTCATATTCAACCACAATTGAAGGGTCTAGTGCACTTTCCATTATGATTTCCCCATGAACAAAATGAATCATTTTTAACTGTATATCATAAAGAATACATTGTCACATAATACTTTGAAAAATATTTAAGCGTTTAGACACACATTGGCTGAGGTTGAGGTCATTAAGTTCTGCAAGGGTATATTGACTTGACATTGGATGTGTTCTATTGCAGTGGATACCATCAGATTCCGATGGAGGCCATTGGTTTCTATTGATTTTCCCAAAAATACACTATGACCTGAATTGATTGCAAATTAAATAATTTCACAATATGACACAAATGGTATATCACATCAGATGTGCAAATATAAAGTTTGCAATTTATTCAGGTAAAACTTCAAATTAAAAGATAATACATTTTTTTCATCATTTTTTCCTACAAAATGGCTATAGAAAAATGCTTCAAAAGCAACTTTTACACTTACAAAATCACATACAACTTTGTAAATACAAAGATAATACTGTTATGTTTCATTAATAAATAACATATTTGGATAAGATGTAGGGATGTGTAGGATGCAAATGGATTTTGGCAGACACAAAAAGGCTTCATGGTTTGGCATCTCAACCCCTGTACACTTTATGATTGAATATTGGCCCTAATAAGTGGCCCATTCATCAATACAGTGCTGAATACTAGTGTACATATAAATGAAATAATAAAAGCAGTATATTTATTTTGAAAAATCAGATGAATTTATTTTTGTTCATGGGGAGATCATAGCACACTAGATCCTTTCTTGCCATGGTTGTCATTTCGTTTCGTTTAGTATACATATTGTACTAAGCCCCGGGCATCAAATTGGTCTTGCTTGTTTATATTGTACGGAATGAACAGACGATTACATTTGAAGTTGTCATTTACCAATTAAAATGTATTCTTATTTCCAATTAAGGATTTGGGGTTTACCAATATAACAAGCAAGATTGTCAAATATGGGCTCCAGGGCCATCCTAGAACATAGCTAAAATCAATCTTGTAATGAGCGACGTGTAATCACTCATCTACACGTAAAAACCTGTAACGTTCACGCTTACGTGAAGAAAGTAGACTAATCTGACGTCATTTTCCTGCGCGCGCATAGAAGTACACGTTCATGCTTTGTTGAATACGCGTCTATAAATTGCACGAATATGGTAATCTCATGTAAAAACCTGTAAACTTCACGCTGGCCGACAGGAAATAAACAAATCTGACGTCATTTATCTGCGCGCGCATTGAAGTTCACGTTCAAGTTTTGTTAAATACGTGTAGCTTAACCTCTCTAATAACTATGATTACATTGGACACAGGGTGATTTTATTAATTATCAGTCAGTCATACCATTTGGGCCAGGAAGAATCGATACAAACTTGGACAGTATTCACTGGGGACCTATTTACCTTTCACACGGGTTTTGACAGTGACATTGTATTTATAAAATCTACATTGCATAAAATATATTAGGTAGAATTGTTGCCCATCTTTGTCTTTAAGTACAGTAAGTGTTAAGTAACCCTTTCTGTGATATTTCACATGTATGTTCACATGCACATTTTCTGTCATTTGTATGTTGTGTTTCATTATCACAAAGGAATGGTGATAGAAAATAAAGATGCCATTTATTTATGGTGAGCACTGTCATTCATTTTCTAAACAAACAGATTTTTCCAAACATTGGCAGAGATCTTTTCTTTGTCTGTTGAGCGCGTATGTTAGATATCATAGTAAGATGAGTTGAGAATTGTAGCAACAGCTTGCCCCTTAGAGAAATCAAACATGTCCGTTTATATTGATATATATTGCACAATAGATAATGTATTATATGTGACACTGTGTGATCCTACCATAGGGCAAGCCGTTGTATTAGAGATTACAGCATAATAAACCTGTGCATATGCTTTGTAGCCATAAATCAAGAGAGAAAATGAAAAATAACATTGATTTTGAGCAAGTTAAAGTACGTGTTAGTTCTCATGATCTTTAGAAAGTCAGCATACATGTAGAGTAAACCAAGCTGACATCTATCAGTGGTTTACCAAATTAAAGTATGTGTTAGTTCTCATGATCTTTAGAAAGTCAGCATACATGTAGAGTAAACCAAACTGACATCTATCAGTGGTTTACCAAATCAAAGTATGTGTTGATTCTCATGAACTAGTATATCTTTAGTGTCAGCATACATTTTATGTATACCAAGCTGACATCTATCAGTGGTTTATCAAATTACATGTTAGGTACCATGAGTAGCTATGTACAATCATTTATGATCTATTATTGTGCATCCATAATCATGTTTATCTAGAGACCTTGGTAATTAAGTTGTAACCGAGGGTGATGCTGCTATTTGCCTTAACAATTTTGAAAGCTTTAATTAGAACAAGCTAAATAATGTTATTAATTTTCGGCGTGTTTTTATAGGATTGCTTTATGTTACAGCTTTGTTACAAGATACCTGGAATTGTTTTCAATTGTCATATGAGCAAATATTAGGGTAATATTATGAAAAGGTCTCAGAGGCACCGAGAGCCAGAAAATCAAATTTGGTTGTACTATTCGTAATTTTGTTAAAAAGGAAAAATAAATAGTATGAATTTACTAGAATGGTGGTGCATACTGCACAGTAGAACAACTATGTTAGGCTATGGATATTTATGCAAACCAGTGTAAGATTCAAATTCAATTAACGATTCAGTCTCCCTAACCTGCCTTAATAAGTCATTTGACTAAATATAAACACTGATTCAACAATTTGCATTGATAAACATGAATATAATATTATATATTTACAATAAAATTATATAGAAGTGCACTTACATTAAATTACTACATGTATTTACAAATTATTATGCAAATATAATGTTTAATACAAATGACAATTATTGATTCCCGCTCTGTTATACAGTCAAGGTTGTCCCATAAGTCAAATCATATCACTGGTGATCCACTTGAAATGTCGAAACCTCGAAGGTACGGCTTTTCTTTTTTTCTCATTTCACGCGTTGAGGCAGAATTCCAAAGACATTTTATCACAAAAGTGTGTCAGTTTAATATGTCTAAGAAAATGTACATGTTTGTGAACATTTAGTTCAGAAGACAACAGAAAGGTTGATTCAATTCCTCACTTTTGTTACGTAAACGGAACTTCAAAGAGGAAGATTTTAATTAGCACTTCTAAGATTCTGTTTTCTGAACCGTTTGTTCGCAAACATGTACATTTTCTTAAACATATTATACTGACGCACCACACATGTTTGTGATAAAAATGTCATGGGAATTCTGCCTACAACATAAAACATGAAAGTGAAAAACAAAGAAAATGAGCAACTTTTCACAAATATTTCTCATTTTCAGAATCATTTAGCATATATTATTCTTTGTCACAGACATCTTCTTTAACTACCAATTCAAATATGTTATGAATCTTTGTTTTTGCACATTTATGTTTTAGCCAGAACTGCTATTAGATACCATGATCGTAAGCCTTACTGAATAAACCAAATAATTTATCATGATTACATCATTGGATTGTAAGTGAATCAATTGCAGACCAACATTTTGCAATCTTTATCCCTTCTAAATCCTTTCAAAAACGTTATCATCAGATATGAGATCATTTGGAAAGGTAAAAGGCACATTGGTTGAAACAAGACACATATTGATAAATATCACACTTTGGTGAGCAAAATGACTGTAATTTACACAGCATGACCAAAACATATTCAAATATTGTTTGCCACTAGTCTGTTCTTATATCTGCAATAATTCTGAGATTTTGATGACAAGATTTATGTAGCATCTGCCCAGATGCACGTGCATTATGAATAAACAACTTAAACACCTCCCATTGTCGATGTAAAAACATCTAGTAGTAAGCAAGATCATCTTTGCTTACTAACAGTTCCTACTATTTTATATATTTGTTTTATTCTTAAAATATTGCATTTTTACAAATATTTCAAAATTGTTGGAGATGTTACTAGTCTATTGCACAACCCTAAAAAGTGCCTCCATTTCTGATAACAATGAGGGCTCTTTACTAGACTGTGCAATACATGGGTTTAAACATATCACTAAATAAAAATGTGGATGACAACCTTTAAAGTAATATAATAAAATAAATATTTCATTCTAATTTTGGTGGGCATTGTGATTGATACACATACATATGTATATTCAACCCTAGATGGAAACATTTGCATAAAATCAATCAAGGGTAAAGGATATATACAGAAAATAATTCTAGAATAGTCTAGCAGAGAGCATCCTCTATTAAACATAAACACCATTCAACTTATCATATTATTTCCATAGAGTGTGATTACTTAATTTTATAATATATTTTCTTTGTGCTGTACATATACATGCAATGGACTGAAAGTGTTCAACTATGATTTGAAAAGTTGATGAAAAAATTGTTTTTTCGTTGATTTTGTTTGTTGATGGAGATGTTTCATGTTGTTGTCTATTTTTGATGTAGTTGCTATGGAGATGGATGATGAGGATACGGAGGAGAAAGAGGATGATGCTTGTGATGTAATACTGTTCTGGACTTCCATGCTCTCTGAAGAGCTGCATTCACCAATCACCTGAAAATATAACATAGGGAGATGTTTTATATCTATGTGATATTACATGTATTATTATTAGCTAATGTTATTAAGAAGAATCATTTTTATCTGATTGAATTTTATTAGTTTGAATTAATAACTTTGGAAGCAGTCAAGTTTGGGACTTGAACAAATGTAACAAATGTTAAGACAGGACTTGAGTATTAATGTATATCAAGCAGGATGAATATATAATTATGTTTTAACTACATGTATGACATAGCCTTTGGGTAACTGACCTTAATGAGATTATTGAGACCAGTTAGGTAGCCATCTTCATGGTTACCCAGCAACCAAGGATGTTGATGAGTCAGCTTCCTTCCTTCTACCTGGAAGCATTTTGCAAAGTCGATCATCCAGACTCCAGCTTTGCCAGTGGCATCGTAAATCACAAGCAGTGAGCTGCCAATTATCTGCAACAGACAAGAAAATATAAGAATAATTACTATGTGAATTTCTCACTCAACTTCCTCTCTATAAGAAATGAGTACTTGGATTAAGAGATCTGGTATCTTGAGAGCCATACATGTAGATGCCCATAGTTGCCCATAGATGCCCATGGTTTCCTGCATCATATTCAGACTTTACATTATACAGACTGCCCCTAGGTTAGAGAGCCTTACATAGGCTAGCCATGCAGGTTCCAGGTATAGACTGTCAACTGCTTAGAGAATCTATGAGGACCTAGAGACCCTTTGAGAGCATAGAGTGCCACCTATAACTGTGAAAAGCCCTCTTAGATGTGAAGCCTAGTGATCTAACGTAGCTGTCCAACATTGTTCATTTTCAAAAAGTCATAGTATGGTTTTCAAAGGACGATTCTCGGTTTGGAGAACAGTCTCCTGGGCTAATAATTTTTTTCATGAAAAATATAGAAATATTACCCAAATTAAACTATGAATATTCAAAATAGGACATTTAAATCTACAAGATGTAAAATTAACAAATTGGTCTGAAGCAGGGATAACGCTCAATTAGACCGATTCAATAAAATACAAGTCTCGATTTGGGGAAAGAAGTTCATCAGTGTACTGCGCTAATATTTTTTTGCGAAAAATCTAGAAATATTACCCAAATTAAATTATGACTATTCAAAAGAAGACATTCAAATCTAAATTATGTAAAAAAAATCAAATTTGTCCGAAGCAGGGATAATGCTCATTTAGATTGATGAACTTCGTTCTCCAAACCGAGAATCGTCCTTTATGGTAACTGTGATGTTTTGCTGTTTTCACTGGTAAAAGAAAACTAGCTTTTAGCCTTATAAAGAATCCATTTCATTACTGTTGAGGTATTCATTAATCATTAGACATTATACTTCAATTATAAAATCACAGCATAGAAATATAGGATACAAAAAACATAGTACACATCGTTTTTTGCAAAACGGGACCTTGAATGATTTTCGTAATATCTAATAGACATTGAGACAATAAATATTAATAAGAAAACTATTCGCAGTCTGGGTAAATTTCACATAACCATTTAGGAAAACTTTAAGAAATTACAGTTATTAGAAATGGTTTTAGCTTGTCTTCCGGGTGTTTGGCTATCAAATATAATCTATAGGGTATACTATTTACAAATTAATTTAGAAATGCTTAATCGTTATTGCTCTCCATATTACTATCTTTAGTAAAAATGATAATGTATGAATCAGTAAATGTGCTAATGCATGTTAACCAATATATATTGCGATTCGATTATTAAGAGACATTTATAATCAGTTCATTAATTAATTGATTCATCAGACGTCATACTTGAATTAATTAATTCCTGATTCATCAGACGTCATCCTTCAATTATCCAAACACACCATAGAAATATAGGATATAGAATATCATTTTGGACTTCTTTATGGAGTATGTCTTCTATTTGTTAGACATATTATAAACATTTATGCAAAAATCTAGAAATGATTCCTCCATTAATGGATGTTTAGCTTTAAGCCTTCACTTTACGAAACTAATGTAGTATTGCTGAAAGCACTGGAAATAAATATGGCCATGCACTAATTGATATTGTTTGTAATATGAAGAATCGCTGTGTAAGACCTCTATTTCAACATTATAGATACAGTAGATATATCTTGTTCAGAACTCAGACAACTCAACTTCTAAACAACTCAAATTCTAAACAACTCATCCTTGGACAGCTCAATCCTTAGACAATTCATCCGGTTGTTGACAACCCAATCCCTAAACAATTCATCCCCATGACAACTCATCTCTTGAAAAACTTATCATTTACGTCATAATCTTCAGTTAAGGTGGTTCACATCTATCATAACTTGTCATTAAACATTATCTGAAATTATTGCAATAATATACGTAAACATCAGAAGGTAATCATCCCATATTAATTAAAGCACATGATCATCTCCTTGGTAACATAATATTTGTCACATGTATATGTTTTACTCCAAGTAAAATCCCAAAATTAAAAAGACTCACAGATAAGGACCCCTACTCAAGATTATATTCTTTTTGATTCTTTTTCATATACATGTATAAATAAACATTCTTTGGCGTATGCTAGTAACAACAATATGACCCTTTTATCACAGGTGACAATAAATCGATGAGATTACGCACACATTTCTAGTAGTAACACATTAGCAATAAGCAGATATCATCTGTGAATTTGTAATATAAGACGACAAATGCATACATGTCATGTTAATAATGATTCTGCATCATTTACACTGTATGAGCAAAAGATTGTCAAAATTGCCAACTTTTCATAATTTAGATTAAGATTTAAAGAAGTAACTTTAAGTTTGTAACTTGAAGTAACTTTAAGTTTGTATTGTTTGGTACTTGATTACTGTACTCACTTTTACATTAAACCCTGCATAATCTGAAAACCACTGGGAAAGAGAAAATGTTTGGATAAGCAGGTATTCAGGTGTTCGCGTTAGTCCATGGGAGGGAAGAGAGAGAGAAGTTCAGATTAGAGAGGTGTTCAGATATACAAGTTTTACTTATGTATTGTATTTTTTTATTTTAAAAGAAGTTTCCTCATGCTCTTACCTCGTGATCCTTGAAGAACTTTGATGCAGTAAACCCATTCCTCAGATCGAGCAGACGATTCATAACTGCTTCCTTTACATCTCCTCGACCAATCAGAAACTCCTCGATTTTCTGAAGGACCTACATAGTAAGAGATTTGGGATATTTGAAAACCTGGTGAAAAAATGGCCAATATTCAACAATGCCTTCCCCATTATTATTTTCTTTTACTTTTCTAAGTTAATAAAAAGCTTACAAAAAGGTGCGCATAGAAAATATAAAAGTATCCATCATGATTTTTTTATAAAATGATATTTGGAGATGACAACAACAATCCTACATACTAGTAATTATATACAGTATATTGCTATTTAAAAGAAATTAAGGATATTTAAGCAAGTGTTTTTCAATTACCTGCTCCTTGGACTTGACTTTCTTTAAATCTGTGTTTGGGGTCTCACCAGACATCTAGAAAAAGGTTGACAGAAAAGGTTACAAAAAATGTTTTTAATAACCTCAAAATATCATTAAGTAGTAAAAAACGGAAGCCAAAAATAAGCAAACATGAAAGCTGTTTATATATAAGACATATTTTGAATGAACTTTCGGCTAAGTCATTATTAACGCCTAGAATGATTACCGGTATGTACTCACAAGTGTTAAGGGGAAGTGTTAATTTACAACATTGAACCCTACCTTGATTGCTTCAAGTCGGAAGCCAAGAGTTGAAGTAGAGCTTCCCTTTTCTCTGAACTGGAATATAAAGGAGGTGATCGAATAAATGTATCTGATTGGTTAATACATGGAATATATATGAGGTGATAGAATAAACGCATCCGATTGGTTTATATTTGAAATATATATGAGGTGAAAAAATTTCAGTACAGGGAAGAACGCTGATGTTGTAAATGTTTCACAAAATGTAGTAAAAGATCCCTTACCTGCATATACCTGAGTTTTGTTACTGAGCTTTGACTGTTTTCTTCCTCTGTAGGCTCGCTGGCGTCCAGTTTGACCATCTTCTCGTACAGGTCTTTGCGTAGGACAGGATTCTTTACTTCAGACTCCAGAAAAGTCCTGCAATTAAACAAAATTATATCATATTATGTAATTATACATTTTATGCCTTATGTATAATATTATCTAGAACAATCAGGAGTTTATATTCAGGTCTTAAATTTGTCACATGTCAATTTTCTCATATTCAACATTTTTGTATCCATTTTTATTTTCCATTATCCTTTTTCAAAATTCTAAATAGAATAAATTTCCCAAATTGTCACCTTTTACAATAATATTTGTCACAAGGGCCTATCAGATAGAGAATTAAGAGTATGAAAATGTGAAATGTACCTGCTTCCCATCTTGATATCCATTATTGACGGGTCTGTGAAATGACGCAACAGATCCTCCATTTCAATGAAATCTAACTGTAGTTAAGGCCAATATCCCAGAATTCAAGAAGTTCATTTTGACACTAAGATGTAATCATTTTTAAATTCTGTATTATTTCCACTTATAGAAATATCAAAGATAATTACAATTACAATTTGTGAAATTCATGACCCAAGTTCCTGGCCCCTAGAATAGAATAATTGATGATGATTGAATCCCAAAAGAATTCTCTCAATGACATCATATTCACCAATATGGAATGGAAGGTAACTATTCAATCTATACTCATCCTTGGCCCAAGAGTAATTCATTGCATTACATTATACATTATGATCTGCTATGAAAGCAGTGAAGGACCGATCTTGAAGGATGATCTATACTCATAGCAAAGACAGATAAGCTTTTAAAGAAGTTTTAACATTTGAAGTCTATGAGGGCATTTAATCATATTTTACATTAAACCATATTTTCATATTAAAGGATACATTCTCCGTTGTATTCCACCTCCCTATAATATCTAGGAACGTAAGGAGAGATGGCATCCTCCATCATTGCCATGTACGCCTTCGTCTCATTGTTGTCTTTCATCAAACGCTTCTTCCAAATTGTGTTTGGACCCGCAGGAGCAAAGGAACCTATAATCACAAGAAAGAAGAGTCTAATTAAACTGAAGAATTTAAGTAAAAACAAGGCATTAAGATGCAAAATATTACAACATGCCATTTGTTACAGACACTGACTGCCAAATGCTGAACACCAAACACCATTCACAAAAATTGGAGACTATAACAATAACAACCTGTGAAGGTGACATAATAATTACTAACTAAATCACTAACTAAGTAACTCATTCAATTGCCCATTCACTCGTATATTAATATACAGAAGTCAGAAGTTCTCTGTTAATCATCAATATCATTTGATGAGATTTTAATGATTTTAAAATGAAATGATAACATATTAAACTTATTCATTCATGTCAAGCAATGAAATATATATGTTTTAAAGTGTTAAATTAAACCTATATTAAATATTAAAGATCTAGGTTTTCTAAGAGTAAAATTATTAAAAAAGCCCAAGATTATAAATTGACATATCGTGATATATTAGTTACCTTGGTGACCAGCGAGTTGTACCCATTGATTCTTTCTGTTCTTTAATAATGCATCACTTGCAGGCACGGTCAAATCCAGAGCATTCTGCAACATATAAAAAAATAATAAATCATAAAACAAACACCTTTTCATTGAAAGATTAAATAATCATCTAAGTTAAGTGTTCCATTCTCATCTCCATCAAACAAACCTAAAACAAAACAAAGTGAATGATTAGAGTCCATTTTGTAACTTCACTGATTTGGTAACTTACATTTCTAATGGCCAAAACTGTTTTTCTCCTATACTTTGAGCTGTTTCTCCTGAGAAGCTTCCCTTCAGATTTCATCTTGACAACCTTTTCTTTCAACTTATCGCTTGATCTATCAGTCAGCGTGTTAACTGCAGATGATGTGTAGGAATATTGATGATGCTTAGAGAATATGCTGATTTTATAATACAGCAATCTGACGTCAATAATTAGCAAAAGCCTAACTTATTATCACCTATCCCCATATACGATCTTGATCATGATGCTTTTGCATAAGTTCTACCTACGCATTATTAAGCATTATTCTATTTTTTTATTTTTTTATTTTTTGCAATTCTCTGAATCAAGCCAAAAATGTTTCTTTCGAGCCATTATTTTATTTGTTTAACATTAGCATGATTGAATGACAGCAATTACAATAATTTTGTCTACGAGTTTATCTGTAATTTAAAGGAAAAATAGTACAGTATAGTAATAGACTAGATGCAAGAAGAAATAATCTTGATTTACGTCATTAAATATTCAAAATTCAAAAATTTGAAATCTGCATGTAAAAGTACATCTAGAAATATGGTTTTGAAAATTGTCTATCAACTTTGAAATTTTTTTTTTTTGAAAATGTGACTTCTTGTTTGGGTTGATTCCCAATAGACCCCATGTTATAAAATCACAAAAAGTGAATTATCTTTTCTTGTATTGGACAGATAACATTTTCTTTTACTGGACATATTTTAATTTGCATAACTCACGCCTAACCATCGCGTAAGCAGGCGTCACTGTACAGCGTCAAAAAATAGCGGAGTACAGTTTTCTGTACGGTGACGCAAATTAACTGCTTTGAAGCAAAAACTATGACAAGGGTTTAAAAAAAATTAATTTGATGAAAACTAATACGATTTCATGTGAAATAAAAACAGCATTCTCTTGGAATGGTTTTAACTTTCTAATCATGATAAACGTTTGACGAGCACTGTTCGGATTTTTTCTGAGTGAATCGGCCAACATAATCGACCCAAGTGAAAAGAGGTTGTTTTTTTCACATTTCGTTTGGTTATTATTTTCCCTGCCATCTGAGAGTATGGATTATTTTTATGAGAATATGTATTTGTTGACTTCACATTTTAGAACGGGCGAAGATTCAGCAAACAACCATTCATTATGTATATTTAAAAATGATCAAATTTGTACAGTGATGCATCAGCTGTACAGTGACGATTCATTATAATTTGTGAGAAGTAATATAAAGAATTCATTATTTATTGCTTCAAATGGCATAAGTTTTGGTGTGGAAGTTCAAATGTTGATCCAATCAAGTACCCCTTGTATAAATGTTGTCAAACTGATCAGTATCAAGTGAAAGTTACTGCAGTCACTTTTGCATTTAGATCGGGCGGACAGGAAGTGTCGATTTCAATATTTTTAGTTTTCATCGAATTAAACGGCTTTGTATAAAAAACCTCCTACCCACGTACCCTCGTACCCACGTACGTGGGTCCTGACCCAGTCTTTAAAGAGTTAAATTTTTAAATGTTTAAAACATTATTCAATCTCAGTTTATCCTGAATTATAGATGAATTTATGCATCCATATGCCTTTATTTATAGGTCTGACATCTCTCTAGTAAAATAAAATAAAGCCGGAATTGCATAAATGTTCATTATTTTTGAGCTATTTGATTTATGTTTTTGATATGTCGAAATGTTTTTTGTTGATCGGGCAGTCTTACCTGTATAACACATCAGTGCTGATTAGCAATCTCCTAGCCTTCGTTCAGTGCAATCCGTGCCTCCTGTTACCTCATGCAGATTGTAAATGTCCCGGGAAGTTTACCCTTGTCCAAAAGTTGACATCTTTTTAAAAATATATTTCTTAGAGTTTCCAACCAATTAAATTCACCACATTTTATTAGATGTTTATTTCAAATGTTATTAGAATTCATTCTTACGAATATTATACGTTATTAACGTATGTTAGTCAAAGATTTGGTGTCGTTGTTTTACATCAAATCATTGTCAAAATAAAACTCTAGTCTTCATATTACCTAATTATGGATCAAATGGCCATGAATAATGTCGAAGTTTACAAAACCAAACTTACACTCCCCTGCATAAGTTTGGCAACTCTAAATTTTAATTCCATCTAAATGATTCACTGAACTAGTGCGCACAATTATCCTTAAATTGTGCCAAAAAGCGATTAAAAACGAATATAGCGAATCCTTCTACTTTTCAAATATTTCGTTATTCAATTGCGCCACGGTTAAACAGAAATGCAGCCTTTATTATTCCTTGAGATCGCGTGAATTGATCACTCTATCACTTTGTATCTCCAATTCTGATGTTAAATTAAATAAAAGACATAAGACAAATTACACGTATAGTTCAAATCTGTCGTGCAAACAATGAATACTTGTAATATCGTTTGAAAGAATAAAAAAAGTATATGTGATAAAAATCGAAACTACAGGGTGTTAAAAAACAGGACCGATGAAAAGTTGAATAACTTCGTCAATCCAGAATCATTCAGGTCATTCAATGTGAATTTTGTTGTGAAAGTTTGACCATATTCTGCTCATGCAGTCAAAAACTACAGCACTTTACAACACATGCCCCATGTGGCCAATTTGCGCCAAGCAATAGATTGGTTGTACACTGTAAGACTGCCCGATCAACAAAAAATCGCTTCGATATATCAAAAACAACACTCAAATAGCTCAAATGAACATTATGCAATGCCGGCTTTATTTTATGACGAGACAGATGTCCGATCTAGAAATAAAGGCATATGGGTACATAAATTCATCCATAATTAAGCATACATTGAGATAGAATAATGTTTTAAAAATGTTAAAGATTTAACTCTTTAAAGACTGGGTCAGGACCCACGTACGTGGGTACGAGGGTACGTGGGTAGGAGGTTTTTTATACAAAGCCGAATTAAACTTCTTTATAGTTGTAGTATGATCAATTGTTCATATCATATATAGTGAAGGGCGCTACAGTTCAACTATATCTTCCACCGCTTAATGGAAGGTTACTGAAAATGTATGATACGGTAAGGATCATGAAACCAAAAACTCAGTATATTTGTTGCTATGTTATTGATGTTTTAAAACAAGGGATGTCACAAGTAAATCTCATCTTGCATGTGTGACTTTTAAGGATGAAAGATGCAATATCTTGCATGGGGTAAAGATGGCTGTGTAGGCTATCTTTGTTAGTCATATGAGAAAAGCCTGGTTGAGTTCAAAAGATACCAAAGCATTACGTCAACTTTCAAATAGTTAATTCCATGAAAACTAAAAATATCGAAATTAATACTTCCTGTCCGCCATCTTAAAGGCGAAGGTGATGGCTGTAACCTTCGCTTGATACTTACCAGTGAAAACGTACATGTAGAACTGACACTTCTTTACCTCCTGTTCGAACAGTAAGCTTAGAGTTGAATGTGTTTCAGTATTTAATCCTTGTTATCAGAAATTAATGGAAACATAAGAATTTATCTCTTTCAATGTTGAACGGGATACAAAATTTGAATTTCCACACAAAAAATTATGGAATCTTGAGTTAATACTGAGGTCATATATTACACTTCATAAAATCTAAGGAATCATCACCATACAGCAGATGCGTCACAGTACAGATCTGATCTTTTTTAAATAATTACACTGAATGATTATTTGCCGAATATTCATCTGTTCTAAAATGTGTAGATAACAAATACATATTCTCATAAAAATAATCCATACTCTCAGACGACAGGGAAAACAAGGCATTAACATGACAAAATGTCACCACCTAGTTGCTCACAATATTATGAGTTCAAACTTAAGTCAGATTTGAATTTCTGAGAACTTGTAAAGTCAAATTTGAACTTCTGAAAAGATGTAGATGATTTTGAAAAAAAAATTTGGTCAATTTGAAGCAAGTTGAAAAACAGACCTTTTTGCCCTTTTTTGACCTTGAGAAGGTCATTGAAGGTCAAATGTCAAATCTAAAGTCAGATTTGAATTTCTGAGAACATGTAGATGATTTTGAAAAAAAAATTTAGTCAATTTGAAGCAAGTTGAAAAATTTTGACCTTTTTTGAATTTGAGAAGGTCATTGAAGGTCAAATGTCAAATCTTAAGTCAAATCTAAAGTCAGATTTGAATTTCTGAGAACACGTAGATGATTTTGAAAAAATTTTTTAGTCAATTTGAAGCAAGTTGAAAACAGACCTTTTTGACCTTTTTTGACCTTGAGAAGGTCATTAAAGGTCAAATGTCAAATCTAAAGTCAGATTTGAATTTCTGAGAACATGTAGATGATTTTGAAAAAAAAAAATTAGTCAATTTGAAGCAAGTTGAAAAAAGACCTTTTTGACCTTTTTTGACCTTGAGAAGGTCATTGAAGGTCAAATGTCGAATCTAAAGTCATATTTGAATTTCTGAGAACATGTAGATGATTTTGAAAAAAAATTTAGTCAATTTGAAGCAAGATGAAAAAATACCTTTTCGACCTTTTTTGACATTGAGAAGGTCATTGAAGGTCAAATGTCAAATCTAAAGTCAGATTTGAATTTCTGAGAACATGTAGATGATTTTGAAAAAAAAATTTAGTCAATTTGAAGCAAGTTGAAAAAGACCTTTTTGACCTTTTTTGACTTTGAGAAGGTCATTGAAGGTCAAATGTCAAATCTTAAGTCAAACCTAAAGTCAGATTTGAATTTCTGAGAACACGTAGATAATTTTGAAAAAAATTTTTAGTCTATTTGAAGCAAGTTGAAAACAGACCTTTTTGACCTTTTTTGACCTTGAGAAGATCATTGAAGGTCAAATGTCAAATCTTAAGTC